TTATTTCTTTCATTACCTTACATGAAAAGAATAGTTTTATTGAAATATCTAAAAATTTAGTTGAACAGATCTGAGAATAATTTTGCTGGACTATCAAAATAATTATTAGAACGCTCGAACTGGAATCAATTTTTTACAACGTTGCTCATCATACTTGAAACTCCTACGTACTTATTTTGATGACCTAACAAAATCATTTTTAAATCTGTGTATTTAGCTAAATTTTTAGATACTTCAATCGTTTTTTCCATACATAAACTGATTTCGTTTAATTTGTTCAACATAGTAATAAAAAATAGTCTTACTCATTTAAATAAATTCTGAAAACGTGAATGTTATAACTTTTTATCTCGTAAATACTTAAATTACAAAGAGCCATTTTGTACCTTAAAAGGAACATTATGTTAGAATGTCGAAAAATGGATGGCCCCCCAGAATTCTTCAAGAAGCTTTTCTCTGCGGTGAAGATCGAGCGATGCTTTATTTTACCTCTCGAAACGGGTAAAAATGCGAAGGATCAAGCGTCCGAATTGCGCGTCAGCTGATTGAATGGCAGCCGGTGACGTTACCGAAAGGCACCGCGCCACGCGACACCTTCGCCGAAATATGAGGACATAAATTCCCGCTACGAGGCTGACCTCCAAATGGCTACCATTAAGCACCCTGAGATTCCCATTTCGACTTTAAAGTATCGAGATCCTGATCGAACGATCCTTAATGGTTCTCATACAAAAGAGGTGCCACGATCAGTGATCCGAACACATTCATTTTTCGTGCTTCAACGCGTATCCAGTAACTCTTAAACTAAGATTTTAACTCTCAGAGACTGAAAAAATGTAACTTGAAAATCGAGAAATCGGAAAAATATACGCGTTTAAAAGATGAAGGATTAAAAAATTAATTCTCAAGTTGAAAAAAGACAATTGAAGAATTGTGAAACTCGACGAACCAACAAGCCAGAAGTTTAAGGAAACAAACATTAGATAATATATAATATTTTGCGACAAAAGATCTCGGCACTTCTCCAAATGTGAGAAGCCATGTAAATGCGTTGAGAGAAGTTCAACATTTGCAGATCTCTAGATTACGAGTCTAAGAAACTTATGTCGCTCTAAAATTCGACAATTGCTAGACTTTCCGTTTAACGATCCGCGAATAATAAGCATATTCGCCGGCTTGAAAACGACTTCCAAATTTCGAATACTAGAAACATTAAATTCATTTTAAATGGTCTTTAATTCTTACACGCATACATAGAATACAGTGAGATACAATTCTATATATATATTATTAATATATATAATATATAAAATTTTATATCACGTAATACTGAAAGCTTTGCCAGAGTCTAATTTATAATTAACGAAACTTAATATATAATTCAAGACTTTCTTCTTTTATAATAGTGTCGCAAATTCAACATACAAAATAAATATAACTTTATTCCAAATACTGTCTTCAATTATAACGCAAGTATCTTCCGTTTCTTTAATAACTGCAAACTCAATCAACTCTCCCTATAAAAAGAGAATGACCAAAATTTCATGAAAAAGATTGGATGTTTCAGTTATTCCGTCGTGTTACCATCTAAGTAACAACTTGTGAAAAGCAACGCAATTAGACTAAGTATTGGTGATGATCACCGCAACGCGAGCACGCACCTCCGCGACGTGACCGGCGTCCGGTCCGATCCGAAAGAATCGCGAGTCCATCCACGTAACATAAAATATAGTAAATCGGGCAGAGAGTAATGCCCGGCTCGTAAATAACATGACATATGTTCGTTGGAGGCACGGCTGGCATGTACGCGTAAATCTCTTGGTCCCACCGATCGATAACGCCGCTCACTCGCTCGTTCACTCGCCGGAGCGCGCGACGCGGTCGCTTCTGGCCGCTGCACTCGCGATCGCTCGATCATTTGTTCCTAATAAATCAGGCGAGTGTTAACGAGTGCAATTAACAAGCACATTTTTTGTTTCCTCGTTGAGGAATGAAATTAGGTACGGCGCTACGTGAATTTGGCTAGCTTATTTTTTAAGCCACGCGGCAAATTAAACATGTGATTGAGCATGAAACTTGATGGTTATAGCCACCTTTGAGATTTTTTATTCTGCGTTACAAAATATAGGTGTTACAAATCAAAGGTATATGCATTTTTAATTTGATTGATCATAAAAAAATAAAATATAGGTCGGTTTCTTTGCGTTAAACTTTATTAAGACTCTTTCTCGTTTTCGCCAAATATTAAACATGTATTTATCTCACTTTAAGTTTCAAAAATGAACACTGGTTTAGCTACAAACGCATAAATTGTATCGTCATTTTTTATGAAACTAATAGTTTGTTTTCTGTAACTGAATCAGTACCTATACACTTTTGGATCTAAAGCGAAATACACTGAAAAAAATGCATGTAATTTTACATGGAAATTACATGTACAATATATGACTGGAAAATTATCTAAATTATATAAATATGTTTGGAAATTTATTGGAAATTGTAAATTTCCAATCATATTTAGGCAATTTTCCAGTCATGAACATGTAATTTCCATGTAAAATTACATGCATTTTTTTCAGTGTAGATATATTTGAAATAGATATTTGGTATTTGGCGAAAGCGAGAAAGTTCTATATAGTGCAGAAATAAAAAATAGATCTTATTGATCTTAATATGTGTACACGGAAAAAAAAGATTATCTGCCACAGCTAAAAATTAGGTATGACAGCTAAATTCAGTAGCATTATATGGACACCTAACGTCGTATCTGCGAGGTCTCATTTCCATTAGTTGTGAGGCCTAAATATTATCATTGTAACAAACAAGCATTTTGCTATTATGTCGATGTATTGATGATTGCAGCAAACGTTTTCTGTGTAACAGACAATTTGGTAGCAAGTACAGTTTCAGCAAACCATATTTAACTGTGGTAGAGACAATTTTCTTTTACACGAACATATCCAATAACTGTAACAACTAACTTCATATTGCTAAATAAATTGATCTGTAACAGACATGCATATTTTGCTACCACTCCTTATATTAGCTACAGCAACAATTCCTTTATATGTATTAGCAAATTCATAGCTATAGTAGCTAATGCAATTTCAGCTAATCAGAATTAGCTGTAAACCAGAAACATTTTTTTTCCGTGTATAATTAAAAATCGTGCAATACAAACTGTAATATATTAAACTGGAAAACATTACATAATCTAGAAACGTAGTTCTTTAAAAAATTTCAGGTATTTTTAGAAATTGAATTTCGCGGAATTACGGTTAAATAACCGAAGAAACATCCAATTTTTCCCATGTAACCTTCATCATTCCGCTTTACGGAGTTTCAGCCGATTTTGCAATTATCGAAGAAAAGTGGGGACAATTGCATTTGGCTGCGACAAATCGCTGTACACTGAGTGGACAGGAAAAGGTACAAGAAGAGAGAACAGCCCCGGAAGCGCGCGTAATATCAAGTCTCACGTACGACAATTTAGAATGATTATGCCGAAATTGGTTATTCGCCAAGAGATTGACAAGCATCGAAATGTTGTTAAAAAACTGAAAGTAGTTGATACAGAATGTCTCAGAATTTCGATCGAGAGAAAATATATTAGAAATCATTTTTTTCCTTGATAGAAAAGAGAAAAATCATTTTCCACAATTTCTCAAATTTGTAGCACTTAACAATGAAAATTTGAAATGGAAATTCCGCAAAATAAATATCGTCTCAAATAACAGATAACGTTTTATTATTCATTTTAGCTCCTAAAACATATTACTTTCGAAAGAAATGATCTTTTCACAGAAGTTTATAATCCAGAATTTATTTATATAACATCTCTTGATATTTTCAGTAACAAAAATCGACTTTAATTTATAAAAAATATATATATACCAACTTTTTGCCAATTCAAACATTCTCTGCATATACATATTCATTCATTTCACGTTTAAGCAGTCTTTTAATATTCCTATCAGCACCGTCACATCCGTATATTTGATGAACTTTATAATTTGTGATAAACAAATTCTGAAAACTCAATGATTATACAAATTTACGTTTAATAAATTGTCGAGTAATTTAATAATCACATTGCAATCTCATCGCGAAAGTATTTATAATTGCAACATCAATTATTTACAATTGTATTGTTCAATTAGCAATTTTAATCCGTTATCATTTTTCTCGAGACTAATTAACTGTTTGACATGATGGTCAATTCTATAAATTCAGCGAAATCACAAATTCTGAAACAATTTGTATGATACTGTATTTCTATAGAAGTTTTCCACAAGGAAACATTCTGAGATCCTATCATCGTTAAAAGCATGTAATTAAAATTGACGAGCAGCAATCACGAGTTAACAAGGTACCGGCGCAAAACTATACCCCATTCTTTCCTCGTCCGCCCACTCTCGCATTTTATACTAACGCTAGCTTCTCGATTGACGTTTCATTATATAGGTACGCAAAAGAAAAATCGCGATGGAAAGGGAAAGAAAGATATTTTTATGTGGTGATTGAATTGAATGATTAACTTTCCAATGCAATGTTAAGCAAATAAAAAGTTTAAATGTTGTTTAAACTAATGCCAACGTATTGAAAAAAAAATCTGTTATCAACAATTACGTATTCACTTATTAGACTTATACAACTCCTTTATTGCTATACTTAAAGTACATTGATGTACGAGAGATAATAGTTTATTGTGTTGAAGTCGAAGTGTTATGGGTGTTCAAATAACTATAATTGGCTGCGCATTGACGAGTTTAAATTTACACCAAACTTAACATGTACAATCGCGCGAATTAGAGCGTGTTCTATTTCGTGCAATCAATTGCCGGTATATTACCGCGATACGTCGCACGTGCAATTTCTGTATTAGATTATGCGATCGTGCCGTGATTAATTGCGAGTTGCAGTTGTACGCGCAATTATTACTCAGTGGAAAACAGACAGAAATATATATATATTATAATACGATTTGTGTTAAAACTTACTTGTGAATCGCCGACTTCGGACATGCACGATCCACGCACTCAGTCCCGAAATCAATCCCCACCTCGATGCTGAAATGAAAAATACAGATTGATGTAATATAGCATTGAATCATCGTCAATATAATCACGCAGAAAAATGTTTAATTGAATTAATTGGGATTCTGGTGGAAAATGAACAATCCAGAATTTTGACTAAATTTGCTAGATTTCTGGTTGAAATCTCAGTTGAAATAATTAACATTCAGAATATCCTAATTAAATCTACTAAAATTCTAATAGATGTAACCAGAAATCTAGTAGACTTAGCTAGAATTGTGAATTCGTTCCATCCTAAAATTCAATCAAACATTTTTCTCCATAATATAATTTAGATATTGTGTGTGTGTGTGTGTGTATTCAAATTAAAATAAAAATTAGGTCTTCCAGAAAAATATCGTCTTTCTATTTCTGAAATAATTCCATGTTTTAGTCTCATAATATCAAATCTATTTCAATATTAAGTAAATGGCGAAAATAAATGGCGATATAAATGATTTAAATATATTGTATATAAATATAATTTTAATGATTGAAATAATTAAAATTTTTCAAAGTGATATTTATTCTTTTTATGAGAAAAGTATTATACTTTTTTGATGTACTTTGCATATGTGTTACTTATTTAAAAAAGTGCAAGGAATTAAAATCAGTAATAGTCCCAGTCTATGAAAAAAGTTATTTCCACTTCTCTCATTTAAATGTTACGTCGTTTAATCTTCGCCAAATTCTTTGTGTTAACAGCCGTAAAACGTTTCGCCTCGAAGTACTCACTTCGACATAAATCCTCTCCGTTAATTGCATCGTACGATCGCGCGAGTAATTTAAACTCGTCCGCTCACCCCGGTTGGCGGCCTGACGAAATAATATTCCGGCTAAATGGCGGCTCGTGAATCCCGTCCGAATGCGCGATAAAACCAATGCCGGCAACGTGTTTACAGTTTTACGAGGTGTCAGCGAAATGCACAACGCGAACGAGCTACATTCGCGTAACATCATGGATTTATACGATATCCTAAACTTTTTCTGCTGTATTAGCCAGATCATTAACCGTCCATTTTTTCTACTATTTCGATTCCAATTTTGCTATCTTATTTATAATTTTTAGAAGAATTATTTTGAATTTTTGAATGTAGTCAAAAACATTTCATAATGTTTGTATTTTTTATAATAAATAAAAAATGTAAGAGAAGGAGAAAGAAAATGTGTGTGAATATAACTATAATTATATTTTAATATAAAAAAAATAACGCAGGGTTATAATACATGACTTGTAAAAAAATTATATGAAATTCTCATATAATTAATTATGATAGATAAAATTTCTGACTCATTCAAGCTTTATCTGATCTAGGAAAAGAACCGCAATTAATCAATGACATAGTCGCTTAAAATTTAATCAATCTATGGCGAGAGAGTTTACTTGTCATAAAAAATATATAAATTTGAGATATAATCAATATGGAGTTTTCTGTGCCTTGTCAGTTTTCAAATTCTTCTCCTTAAGAATACCTTAGTATGCTATATATAAAAACATGTGCTTATAAAATGTATGACATTATACGAAATATAATTAATGTCACAATTGAATAATTAACCTCCTAATTAGCTTGGTTAAACAGGCGATTAACAGCAGCTGTTACGTGACATTGGCATGTCTTGGCCAGTATTTGATGTCGTGGGTTGCGATTTCATCCCTCTCTCCTCGTCAGCCTTCCTTGACATTGCGTGTCTCCCCGAGGGCTCCTTGAGCGTCTGATTAACTTGGTATGAAATTATGTCCCATCTTTATACCCTCCTTAATACACCTAGACTTATGTGTAGTATCTAAGAACTCTATGATTCAGAGGACTTGAGTTATTTAAGCATCTAAAATCTCTGAGATTTAATAATGCAATTTATGACACATAACAGTAACTTAAAAAACAAAACTATATATATATATACACACACATACGTATACCCATATCGTACTGTATACATATGTTAATATGTTGTAAGCATAATGTATAATATAAAAAAATTATTATCTGAAAATTTAAAACTTTAAGACTTTAACATTCTAAAAATGTAGCAATTTATAATAATTCTGTGCGAAATAAAATTCAATTTTAGGAGTAAAATCAAATATATATGAAATAAGATTAATATTTAAATACATTAATGTCTTCAAATTCTACAAATTTTATGAAATCTGTCTTGTGAAAAAATGTGAGAAGTCGAAGTTTAATTTTAACTTTTTCATTTAATTATTTATGTCTGAAATCGTTACATTCAAGTCTCTCAGAATCAAACAGTTCAAAGGTTTAATTTATTCAAAATCACAAACAGTTTATAAGCAAACTGAATAAATTTTAAACATTTTAAAAATACAAAATACTTTAGTCTATATTTAAAATTTGAAATAGAAGCACTCGAGATTACACCGATTAGATCATTTATTATGTCAAGCCCTTCGTCATTTTCTAAAGCTACCCTTGACTCAACGTCAAATTCCTCAAGCCCTTCATCTCTCCCTTAACAGTTCGCACCTCGACTCATCCCTTCAACCATGTCGGTTGCAAGACGCTACAGCTGCAGCTGCAGTTCTCGCGTGCATCCGCAAGAGAAGGTTGAGGAGGAGGATTACAGGGAGGATGGGTATATGGCGTGGGATGATTGTGGGGGCAAACGTAGGTGGGGGTGGATCGTACATACGCGGCCGGTGCATGCGGTAATGGCGGTGCATACGGTGTACCAGTCAAACGCATACCGTATTGATTTTAATATCTGTGTAGGAAGCAGAGGAAGAGGAGGTGAAGAGAATAGAAGAAGGGGGAGAGAGAAAGAGAGAGAGAGAGAAAAGAGGAGAGAACAGAAAGAAAGGAATGCAGTGGAAGAGGAAGCTTTTACACGTCATTTAGGCACCTGTGGCTGTGACTTCTGATGCGTCAGCATTTTATTCGCGTATTAAGGCGCATTGGCAAGTTTATTCAAGTCGATTTACTTTTATGCAGAATCACATGCATTATACACATTTCAACATCCTCTTCTTTACGTTCACTAAAACGTAATCTTATTTACAACATAAACTAACTTTTCAAATCAAGTTTCATAAAATAAAAGCAATAATTTTTTAGAAAGACATTGTATAAAGAAGTTTTTTTTAACATTGTCATTACTCCGCGAGATGAAATAGGTAAAATAACTATCCCTGAATATCGTCTAAAATTAATCTGCTGATTTGATTAAAAATTCGTTCACTCATGAAACTAATTTGAAACATGGGATTGGGTGGTAGGGTGAGATAGGTTTGTAAATGACGAACGCACTAATGGTAAGTGACAGTGGCTAATTAATTAGTATCGAATGTTCGACACAGCAAGAGCGATTAAACGCAACATCTGAAAATCCTAATCACTTACAAATTAATCCGGACAAACATATGCAGCGACAAATAACAGTAATAGAGATTATTAAGTATAGGGAGTTTTTGCAGTATCATGTATCCAAATAATGTGATTTTAGCGTGCACTATATCTGGATATACGGTATTGCAAAAACTTTTTATTTTTAATAAAAAAAGATGGTAAATCTCAAAATCGTTCAGATATTAAAACAGTGAAAAATTTCGCGTATATAATAAATGAATATGATTTAATAATTTGTAATTTCCTCTTATTACTTCAGTTATTAATAAAATAATCTAAATCTTTTGTATTAATCATACTGACTAAAAGTAATTATTATTTTTAAAAATTTTGTATTACTGCATTTAATTAATGGAAAATATACTAGTATTATATGTATATGCCATTATATAGCGCAATTATTTTGTTAGATTCTATTGAATAAAAAATAGAAATGAAAAATATATTGTAAATAATAATAGTGTAAATAATAATAATGTAAATAATATAAATATATAATAAGTAATAATAACAATAACAACAAAGCAATTAATATATGTAATTTTCTATTTACGGAATTATTATTAACACGGAAGTGCTCAACCTTAATCTATACGAATCGATATTAAATTTGATACATAATGCAGCTCAAAATAACGAGATAAAAAAAGAAACAATTCACTTGATATGCTACCGTTGCTCGTAACAATAACAAAACTAGTTATAAAGATCGAAGTATAAAAGGATTAAACTAGATACAGCCCGCATGGCTTTTGTTGGTGAATTAATCACAACTTAATTGAATCTAGAGAACACTATGTACCTACCAAGCAAACCAAACTGCCCTGTTTACTAAAAGCACTCATCTGGAATAATAATCTACAGCTTTATTACAATAAGATTATTTATTTAGGATCTATGGCGCGATAATTGTGGTAATATATAATTTTCCGATAATAAAGTTAATAATCATTACGACATTGTTAAAAGGTATTAACTGTTTATTCAATATTTAAAAATTATGAAAATTACCTGCACTACAACCAAATTTCCACGTTTACTAAAAACACTCACCTGGAATAATAATTTATGCGGCTTTATACAATGAGATTAGTTAGGATCAACAAGAGTAACTGTTGTAACAAATATATTTTCCAATAATCAAGCTGATATTTGTTACAAAATCATTAAAAGTAATAATTGTTTATTTAATACCTAAATATTGAAAAATTATGAATTCCTAATAGGTATTATTTAGAAGATTTAATACTATAATAATCTCATTCATTTTTTCTAAAGTTGAAAACAATTCATGTTAACTTTTTCAATATCAACGAGATGCAGATACAAACTGATACATTATGGAAAAAAATTCGTTTATTCCACAAAGATAAATTTTTATAAAGAATTTGTTAATCAATTAATTAATAATAACGAGCAATAATAAAAGTTTGAAGAGGAACTTGAATTTCGAATTTATGAATTAGATATAACGTAACTTATTACACATAAACTATAATTTTTGTTAAATTTCCACAGCTATGAGTAATAAACTACTACATGAGCGATTTGGGATTATACAAACGATTATATTGCTAGAATTAATTGAGATCTATTATTGAGGACAAGATTTGCGTCCGTTACATAACTTTGCCGTATTTAGCAGTTGACAGTGGGCAACTAAACGCATTGTTCTGCTCCGTAACTATAGGATATTGTACTTTAGGCGATTCCTGTATACCTATTACTCATCTGTCACGTACCGTACAAGATGCATTGACTTTCGGCTGTGCATAATAAAAAAAAGACAAAAATGAAAGAAACACAGGATATTTCAAAAGAATTGAATATCTCTTTTTTTGTTACAAATTCTTTGATATACCTGTAGATAGTGAAATCAATTTTTCATGAATGAAAATTCATAGATAAATCTGTAGTTTCAAATTACATAGAATTTAGTTTCTTGAAAAAGAGACTTTTGGCAAACAGTCTCTGGAAAGAAAATAAGTGACAAAATCAAACTATTTAATTAATGTCAAATAAATGTTATAATGTTTTAATATGATTTTTTAAAAAGTATTTTAGAAATCTAATTATAAAGAAGTAAAAGACTTAAAAATAAAAAGAAATAATATTTATTATTATTCATCTTTATCGATATTTTTACAAGCGGAAAATCGTCTTTAAATTCATGAAAAAGTGATTTGAAAAATATCCAATGGCTCTGAGACTCTTAGCCATTAAATTAAAACAAATTGTAATAAATGTGTAGAATAAATCAACGTGTACAAAAGAAATAATATAAAGTTTAGCAATTTATTCATTCGATTTTATCGTAATATTTACTTTATAAGTATTTACAAAATAAATATCTCTGTGATAAGTAAATGTAAATAAATATAAAATATATAAAATAAAACGTTTAATAATTCATTCAGTCCATTTATTTCAACAAATATTTCATATTTTAATATACGAGGCATTTAATGCATGCACGTCTCTGTTGTGTTGTACTATCCAACATTTTCATTTACTAAGTATACCCAACATTTCTCAAAATATCGCACATTGGCCTTTCTCTACAAGGCTTTCTCTCCTCCCCCGAGAATCCGTCGACGAGACATAGGCTGCTGGATAGGACAAGGGTTGGCAAGAATGAAGAGGGGTGGCAGGGGGTAGCAGATACGGACTTCCTTCTTTGTCGGCCAGGGAGTCGAATGGCGGACAGACGGACGGGTTAAATTTGCATGGACGCTTGTCTGCGTTTCCAATTTCACGCATGCACACATTCAGCAGCCCCGGGAACAGTTTGGGCAGTCGGCAAGGGAGGGAGGAAGGAGGAGTGGCTGATAATAAACGGCGTCGATCTCGGCATAAATCAAGGCCGCGAATCCCGGCGCGCATCTTCGCGAGCGAACGAAAAAAAAGGGGATTGGAGGATGTAGAGGGCGAGAGGAGTCGGTCCATCGACAACGGCCAAATTAATCCGATGAGCTTAAACAAGCGGAAACAATCCCCGCAAACCTTATCCTCCTGCGGCGAGAAATTCCCGCAACGGACCGCGCAGGATTCCTGTTGCATTTGCATGTGTTATTATTACTATCGTTTAATATACATGGCGTGACGAAATTATTTGATTTGGTGCAAATTTTGTCTTAACAAAGACAAGACGCGAATAACTTTCGGTAATTACATAAATTTGATATAATTAGATTCAATATAATAACATAAAATGTGGAAATTTGACATAATAAATTTCATTACAATAAATTTGATGAACAATTAGTCACGTTATTAATCAATTTCGATACTATGGAAACGGAAAACTCGAATCTGAATTTGAGTCAAAAGTCTCGTTGAATTATTTTATAAAACACCTTGCAAATTAATTTTTTATAAATCTGAAAGCTATTTAAGAATTGAGATATTTGGATTTGGAGAAACATATGAAATCCGTTTTATTTTAGATATACGTATCATATGTAAAATGTATTGAACTTCTGGCATCTCAGATTTTGCAAATCGTTCGGGGATTTAACGAACACCATAAATATAGAATTGATAACGATTTGCAATTCGCGGTGTAACTAGAACATACATGTGATTTTTTTGACATATCGATTGTTATAATCGGCTTAGTCGTTCAGTTGCTATGGTGAAACGTGCGGCGGACTTTATGCGAGTGTATGCATGCATTTATACACGAAAGCTTCAACGATCTTTCAAACTTTTTACATGAAACAGACTCGCAATATCTTTTAATACCTAACATTTTTCAAAATGTTCTACGTTAAATACGTTAAGTTAATTTAAAAATATTCACTGGTTATACACGTCTCATAAAATAAAACGTACAAATAATTCTCTTAGTATTCATATCTTGAAATTAATACATTTTTTTTCAATATTTATTTATTACATTTAATATTTTAATTAACGCGTAAGACTAACTTTAGCTTAGATGTCGAAAAGATCTCTCGGTGATCCATATAATGTATGTGGGATATGACTTCAAAAAACGAAAATCTTCCTTGGAAACTCCGAATACACAAACGCGACGCGATCCGACAATTCATACGCGTAAACGGCATAAATGCGAAATATCATGATTAATTACAGGGATGATTATTCCTCTGTCTGCAATCGTATTTTTACTCCCTCCATACGCATTCTAGACATTTTTTGTAGAGCCGAAGATGTTTTTTAGTATTTTAGACTTTCAAAACAATGTGGAAAAATTTAGAATTATTTTTCAACATCTTTGTTATTAAATATCAAACTTTTTCGATTATTTTAGGGGAGGGAACTGAACTCTACCCTCTTTTTTTTTATTTCCGAAAAATTTGAGAGTGAAATTTCGCTTGTGCCAAAAAAGATCCAAAAAAAAGACAGAGGGTTAAATGTTCGACATTCCCAACATATTTGGACACGTGATTTGTCGACAGATATAAAAGTTGCGGGAGGAACACGAAAATACACGGAAAGGATGTTATGCTGAAGCATCTAAAAAAATGTAGCTAAATATAGATCTGAAAATAATTTTGTTGGACCATCAAAATAATTATGCAGAACGCTCAAGTTGCACTGTTAAATTCATAAAGTCAAATTACAACTAATTTAAATTACTTGTAATCATTTCTATAGGTCGCCATATTCAATATCGTTAATTTAATTACACTTAAAAAAGTGATCTTACAGTTATAGTGAAAATTATCTAAGTATGAAAAATAGCTAAAATAGATAAATTTGTAGCAAGTACTACGATATTGGATATGTATTCTAATCATATAGGTGACAGAGATAGAATTTAGATTTGTGCCATAAATTCTATGCGTATAATACATAATTTTTTATCAGATACAAAAAACAGCTATAATTCTAGCTGGACCAGCAAAATAATTTTTCGCGCGTAAAATAATAACGTTAAACTAATTTAACTCAAGAAAATGTATTAAATTTGACTCAAATTTCGATTATTATTTACTACGTGCATACATTAATATGTACATTGTTTACTTTAAAACTAACCACTGAAATGGATTGATTTACATTTTGACACACATAAAAGTTAAAAATCTAACAAAATGTTATTTGACTCAAGAAATTGGGTTGCCATTGTTCCTTTGATATCTAACAGTGTGTTACTAGAAAACGTTTAGCATCAAAACTTTTTTCAGCATTACTCATCACGCTTGAGAATCCTCCGTAATTATTTTAACGGTCGAACAAAATTATTTTCGGATCTATATATACCTCTAAATTTTTAGATAGATACTTCAACAAAATTGTTCTTTCCGTAGGTATATGAAGTGACACTCGATTCCGCACTTCTGATACGATTTCTCGAGAAAGACAGAGTTCCATTCGAAATTCTCACAATCCACTTACGTCGCGTAAAAAACATAAGAAATGCGAAAATGCAGACACTTCAGCTACGTGCCAACGTTCGAACGACCCGGTGGCAAGTAAGACGGGAATTGTGTACGTGTCGCGTGAAGGTGAAGGTTAAACGTTCGCGCGCACAACGCCCGACGCGACGGACGCGACTGTTGGGTTATACATTGTATTGTAAGAGTATACAACGATCTGGTGACAAAACGATATGTGATACATGTGATAACATATAATTCGATACATCTCGCGTATCAAACTCGCGCGTTACTCGATTCTCGCGAAGTACAGTCTTCCCGCGAAGCGGAACGTGTTTGTGATGACTCTTAGCGTTTTTTCAGTGGCAGAACTGGTGCGCACTTAGTACACAATAAAGTCGTTATACATTACTCTAATCTGAATGTAAAAGTAAGATATCTCAATTGATGAAACATCCAATATATATTTAGCAAATAACAATAAAATGTATTGAGAATTATGTGGTTTTTAACTCGTTTCTATACTTTTATTAAACACACATCTTTACGTCAATTTATGTGCGGTTTTAAAATGCATTGAGAATGTGCACTAGTTCTGCGAATGAAAAACGCTGTGAGATTCTAAGCAGAACAAAAAGTCATCATGATAACATGAAAATGATTGTGTTCAGCAGAAAAAGCAGCTTTGCAACTTGTTGTAAAATTCTTTAATATAATTTATTTATACCATGATGTAAAAAAGAAAGGTAATATTCCCATGAATGCACAGTAAGAGAGTAAATTTAGGGATGTCTTTGCTACCCCAAACTTGTAGCAATTTTCTTTTTACATCATGATTTATATATTTATTAGATCCAGTGAGAAACTAAGGGCAAGATCAAGCATATTAATCTTTAAATAAATATAAATAACAACTCCATGCATAGATTCTTAAAAATCTTGGTCTGGAAGAACAAGATTTTAAAAAAATAAAAAGTATAAAATAAGAAAGTATGAAATAAAAATAATTTATACTAAGAAAATAAGAAAATAAAAGATATTACCCAGAGGTCTTGAAGTTCATTATATATTTTTTTTACATTCTCTTCTACTTTATATAAGGATATAAAAAATGTAAATTTTTAACTCTATATATACTAAAAATATAATATAGCAAAAATATAAAAAAATATAACTGTAAAGATAAAATTTATTGATGTTCTGCATCCTCTTATTTATTGAAAGATTAAAGAATTTTACAACAGTTGTGCAAGTTGCAAAGCTGTTTTTTCTGCTGAATATAGTCTCTAAAATGATTATTATAAAAGCATGTTATTGTCTTAATTCGTATATGCCACAGCAGTGTCATAGTGAGAGATTTTTATCACAGATTCATAATCATATCATAGCGATATCACCTGTGACATTCATACCTGTGACTTTCGCCATGATTTTGCTATGATGTGATATTACACCTATAAAAAGCGAACATTCGCACGTCACCATGATGTTCTTGTAATATTATTTTTTGCTATGAGAGACGAATTTATTTGTCGTTGAGATTTTAGTGCATAAAAGTGCATGAAGGTACGTATAAATACAATTCAGAAAATGAAAATTCACGTTACATATGTAATCACCGAACAAAAAAATAAATTTTATAAGAGCTAAATATTTAGTTTAACAAAAAGTATATAGAAAATTTTGCACAGATTAAGCTGTACCTAATATGTAAATGAAATCGTGCACTATATGTACTATTAATTTTGACGTAAAATGCTAAAAAAATTGGATATACCATTGAGGTATTTTACTAATTTAGCGACTTTAGATGAGAAGGTGTGAGAAAAGGCGTAAGAAGGCATTTGTGTCCCCGTGTGTACTTGCCGCCGAATCGTTTTTAAAATGTTTCGATATCCACCGTTTGACCTTTATTTGACGTTAGATTAAACTCATTTTACATAGATTCTATGTCGTAAAACGCAGAACACGAGTCGCAAGTCGCAATATTCTGATCATAGTAAGCTACAAAACGCAAAACGTAGGACGCATCGAAGTTGGGTGAACTTCAATTTTTGTGTCGACACGTCAATCAAGACATATGATCGCGGGAACGGTCAATTGTTTTCATGCGATGTCAGATTGAATGCAATGATAGATTGCTCGTTGCGAATCTAATATCGCGATGGAGTAATCACTTAACGTAATCAGAGTCTCCGAAATCGTTATAAAATTCGTATGAAATCCTTGTGTATAATCCAATAATTAAGGTAAATGTCCCAGTGTCCGGACACTTAGACAAAATTTATTACTATTAATTTCAAATGCTTTTTTTTATTACAATATTATAATTTAATTGCATTTAAAGATTACAACTAAATTATAATATTACGTTTTAAAAAGCGTATTTGAGACTAATATTAACTTAAATAAATAAAGTGTTATGTAAATGGACATAGGTTATGTCCGGACATAGGTACATGTCCAGTCACTGCACAGAGAGAAAAATGTTTGGTATTTGTAACTATAATTATATATTACTATAATTATAGTTACAAATATCAAACATTTTTCTCTCTGTGTGGAATCGGACAGTTACACAAAATTTTATTTATTTATATTAATATTAATCTCAAATGATTTTTTTACCTTAAAGATCAATTTGAATTAGTTGTCTTTTGTCATTAAACATCTATTTATATTATTATTTTCCGTCAGCATATTAATTTTCCAATTTTGTGGTCGGACACTGGCACAATTACGTCTCAGTGTCCGACCGACTTGGACCCAGTTCCACAACTCACAGTTAACTCTTAACTCGAGATTCAACTTCTTTTATCTCTTTCCAATTCTAGAATTCTCGGTTAAGTTAATCGTGAGTTGTGGAACTGGGCCTTGTCCGGCTACTGATACAAGCAGACTTGAGTTTTCAAATGAATACAAATATTTATATTAAAAACCTTTTGATATTATAAATTGTATTATTTATGAGAACCTAATATTTAAACGTCCGACTACTGGGACGTTTACCTTACATATGCAACCACGAGAAATCATTGTGTAATATTAAATAAAATCGTTTATTTTACAAAATGCTTTCATATATAGTGAAGAAAATTATTTGTAATGAGACGAAATTGCATGAAATCAAATGAAATCATGTAATCTGTGGGACAATATTTCAGCTAGTGGTTACCCCCTCGTAACATCGTTTTTCCTTGGTTGCACTAATGCACACTGAGTGCATATTAAAGCCATTGTACACTTATATAATCTGAGTGTAAAAGCGAAATGCAAATATTTCGTATTATGAAATACATATTTTATTTAACAATACAATAAAATGTATTGAAAATTTTACGGTTTAATCTGGTTTATACTTATATTAAACATACATCTTTATGTCAATTTGTGTACGACGGCTTTAACATGCACTCAGTGTGTACTAGTGCAGCCAAAAGAAAGCACTATATGTAGGCTGCTTTCCTTTTAAGAGACATAGTCGACACAAGTCGACACAAGTGTCATTCTATCTTTGTCACTCTCTGAACATCAAGAAGGATAGAACGATGCTTGTGTTGATTTATGTAGATTTGCGTCATCAAATGGAAAGCAGTGATAGACTACATAGACGCAAATATTTTACAGTCTACGACTTACGTTCTGCGTCCTGCACTTTGCGTTCAGCGTTCTTGTGTCCTATGTAGAATGAGCTTTATACTACATTTCAACGTATTGTCGTTGTCGTTTGTATTAACACGTAACTCACATACCCAATACACAACTTTTACACGCACAAAAGAACAATGATGAACATCTTTATGTAGCGACGACGCGACGCAAGTAATTGAAGTGACGCAATAACTGAAGACTGACGCGGTCGGTTACGGCGACAACTTCACGCAGTTTGAATCTGCAACGGCGCGGCGCATTCGACAGCTCGACGCGACGCGACGCGACGCGACGCGACGTTCCGAATTTTCGATCGCAATTAATTCTGCCCCAGAATTTCATTAATTAACTCGCTCGTCTGATCCATTTAGCACTTTCAATATTAATAAGCACACACATCACCTTTGATTTGGAAAAAAAATCCTGTGAAAGTAATAAACTGCGACAGGAAGAGCCAGACAATGCTTATTACACCTCCACGTATATTTACGCTGCAGCGAATTACGCAATGCAAATTATTACTATTGACACAAAAGCAAAATTAATTCAAACCATTGGCATCACTATCGCTGCGGATATTTCAACCGTTGAATTGCCGAATTATTTCGAGCGTTGAATTACCGAATACTGATTTTAGTTCAAACGATGCAAAAATTATTTATGCGATGTGTTATTTGAAATGTACTCTGAAGAGCGAAAATTTTTCTGGGAAACTATCACTATATCTGCTACGTGATTCGACAATTTGCACGCGCAAACGGGAAATGTTGCATAATTACGACCAGGCATAGGATGAGTGCATTCCGTTTCATGCATGATACACATGACGTATCATTTTATCCTTCCTTAATATTCGATGAACAACAAAGATAAAATGATACATCATGCGCATCATGCGTGAAACGGAACGCATTCATAATTACACATTCGGCATTCTCGACAAGCTCGCATGCACAACAATTTGTCTCCGACAAGTAAAAACAGCAAGACGAATATAAAAGTATAACAGACAACTCGAACAACACTTCCGATATACATTCGATATTTCTAGTTTAAAATCCGCGCACACGATTCCTTAAGGCCATGGTACATAGAAAATTGTGAACGAATCGGCCAATCACAGTCGAGAAAGTGAGACAATAACACGTAAGCAATGGAAAATAAAAAATATTGAACACAAATGAGCGAAGAAGGTCATATTCGGTCAAAGCGAATTTTAATGCTTAATAATATCATGAAATTAATATTAGAAAAATATTATATTTTTGTAAGAGAGTGTGTGTTCTTACAATTTCCACTTTAAGCAAACAAACTATTTACAGTGTTTGAAAGATGCTTATTAACATTAGTATTATTAAATTATAATACTTGTCAATTTAATTTTTGATATTATACGTACTCCACCTTCAATTTAGAACTGTGTTTCAAAATTGACAAATAATTGACGCGCAATTTGCTTAAACTAAAAATTGTAAAATTTACACAAAAATATTATTAGGCATCAAAACCTGTTTTAATCGAATATGGTCGTCTTCGCTTATTTCTGTTAAACATTTCTTGGCAAAAATATTGATTTGCTATCTGCTTACATCTTACTGCTTATGCTTTTTAATGTGCCACAATCTTATTATACAATATATAAGAAATGCGAAAACTGCAGAAAAATATCTCGATTACGTGTGAATGTTTAAATCGACACGACACAGTAACTGAGGCTCGGATTATATGTATCTGTCTTGTGACTGCGCCAAGATTAAATGTTTTCCGTATTACTGCAATACTCGTTATATATTACAAGGACATTTATATCATCCGCGATATGTAATACACATATAGTAATACATGTATGTAAAATTTCAAACTCAATATTCTCTTGGAATTAATTCATACATATCATCCCGTGGATTTTTGCGAAATAAAATTCGCGAAATAGGACGTGATAAAGACACGAAATTACCATCAAATCGCGTTTCGAAATATTCCGTCATTTACCGAGTACAATTACAAATGCATGTTGCAAAAAATTATCGTCATTATTGTTTGACGTCAAAGAATTTCATATAAAGAAAAAAAATTATATTTTATGATGATATATATACACATATATATACTTTTACTTATTAATACAATCGCAGATAGTCGTAAAATATTAATTAGTGACGATATGTAACGTATATGAGCGTCAAGAGCGTCAAGTTGCTGGTTAGCCGTTGAAATATTCGATCTTACGTTAAAGAAACTTTATCATTATTAATGCGACCCGTCGTCATGTGTAGCATTAATTGATTTCATTAATTATTATGTATACTAAGTATACGTCTACTAATACATTATCAAACTCCTAGACGTAATGTGTCAAATAAATTTTTTAAATGCTCTGTCTACGGAATTTTTTACGAATTAAATTGCTTTTTATCGAAAAACGGTTTGCATTATTAGTCAGCATATATTTTAAGTAGATGAAGATTGCATTAATTAGTAGCGCATAGAATCATTTATATGCTTGTGATTTAGCAACATCGCTACCTTACTTTTAAAGTTTGAGAAAGTCATTTTTGTTTCACAAAACCTTAGAAAATCTGTCTTTTTTGAGTTGTAAAGATATTTTGACAATTTTTTAAAAACTGCTTTTTTAGTTACAATGTTTTTTTTATGAAATTTAAGTCACTTCTGATAACAATGTTCACTATTCAAATTCTCTCATACATATCCCGAAGATTTTTTTGCACTGAATACAATGTTATTGACAGAATTTGTCTAGCACATCAGAATTTTTAGTAAATTGAGGTGAAATAGATCAAAGATGATTTTCAAGATTTTTTTACAGCAAAGCAGAAACCTGTATCTAAATAAAGACATCGAACAATTCAAGATCTTTCAATTTTAAAAGCTTGGTGAATTTTAATTCATGATCGAGTATGACTTAAATATTTTCATCAAGTTATGGCTACTTAAATTTGAATTGATACTTAGTGACAATAATGATAACATCTCATGATTTAAATTTGCAACGTTTGTGTCGCGTTCAACATTTATTTTAGTGCCCTCTCTTAAAATACTATAAAATACAGAAGAACAGAAATTGTATGGAACATGCTATTTATCAATAAGATTTTATGATTCATTCTCATACAAGATTTGTATTAAGTTCATTTTTGAGTGATCAAATTCGTCAAATATTTTATGCAAAGACTGGATGATTTCGTGAACCATTCTCTATAATAAATCATTTATATC